CATGGGTGGCTCACACATAGTACGTTCATCCTGTGAAAAGTCGATGAGCTCTGCACTTGTGGTCTATTCACTTTCTGGTATGTGTGTTAAACTTTAATAAAAAACCTTTTAATGTAAAAAGGAGGAAGTCTGAGACTTCCGTTTAGTGATATGACGAGAGAGATCACCTGAACAGCATCTCATTCCATAGCAGCACGAATGCTGAGTACCACATACCCACTAGCTTCTGTAAATGTACAGATGAACTCCCTAGAAAGTAAGGGAAATCCCAGGACCAGCACTGGGTTCTCTACCCTGGATGGGCTGCGAGTGTTACTAGACAAACTATAAAACATGCAAAGCCCGAGCTCTCCCGGCGATGAGAGCTGGAAGAGACCCTGCGGAATGGTAGGAACCTTGAAGGGCTATATTCTGCGTGTACGAGAGACAAAAATCCACCCTTGTGTCAAGTCAAACAAAAAGGTGGTTTGTTTCAGCCTGGGCTCTGTCTGAAAAAGTCAACAACAAAGAATCTTTCCTAAAAATGTGTAACCATAAGCCTGTTTTCAGTGGAGCTAGGGACCACATTCCTATTTCCTGCTTACTCCAGATTTCTGGATAGAGAGAGACTCATTAAGGGATATGCCCAGGGTTTTCTTCACTTTCACAGAAAAACAGTGAGCAGCAGACACCGGAACCAACAGGATACGTGTCCCTCCATCTTAAGAGTTCTCTTGGTCTGATTTTATATCAGCAATAATTTCAAATGAAGAATTTGCCTTAGAGGGAGACATCTGCACTTCATAATTAAAGAGGAACATTAGATCCTTGCGCCTTAGGTACCCTCCACAGAACAAGCCTTTGTAAAAATTGTGGCAGTTTTGACTTGACATTTAGTTGCAGAGACTCTTAAACACTTATTCTCTCTCTCTCTCTCTCTCTCTCTCTCAGAGCTTTTAATCTTGCAGCACAGAAGAAAGTCACAGGCAAAAGAGCACGTGGATCTGAGCACGTAACAGTCAACTGCTTTTTTCTTTTACCAACTCTTTCTAGCAGTCCCATGCAGCATATGACTTCAAGGTCCTCTCCCACTCTGGTTCACAAAGTCAAGGAAATCGCACAGATTTGTAACGAGCAGCTGATGAAATTAAGGCTATTGCAAAGGAAGTGCTCAGGGACCAAAGAGTAAACAGAAGTCAAGCCAGCGAGGCAATGTGATCGGTGATGAAGGGCATCTTAAATTCTCGCGTCTGGGGAGGGAGTGCGGGACCAGGGATCTGTAAGTGCCAGAGGCAACAGCAAAGCGATGGAGGAGGAAGTGCTTACATGACACACATTTGGAGAGTCAGGAGTGACAGGGAACCTGAGTTAGCTAGAGGTGGCTGGCTGATGCCACCAGTGCCTGTCACAGTGATTCCAGTTAGGGCAAGGCTTTCTTGATGTTTATTTGACCAAATGATGCTTCACAGCCAGTCTGCAGAACCTGTGAGCGAGCTTTACCTCAGCTGCTAAAACACAGCCTGTCTCTGTGCGCATCCGCATGACTGAGTTTAGCTTTCGACCGACTATTCTTGAAATTCAGGATTCCCCTAAGCAATCTGGGATGTGGGCTTATCCCTCAGAGATGATTAAATACGAACGGCTCCCAACAGGTTATTTTCACATCATGGAATCATTCAAACAGAGTTAAACACGCCATAAAATAAGCAAACAAAAACTCAGGCACGTTGCAGAAAGCTGGTATTCAGAGCAGTAATGAGCTGTCCTTGTTGAGCCTGTTGGTAGGCCTATAGCTACTTCAGACAAACTCATAGCAAACAGAAAAACATAAATCTAGGATGAGTCAGTAGTTTCTAGTAGTTAGACACATTTTCTATTTTAAACTAATAATAATTTTTCATTGTTGGAAAAATCTGGAGAAAATCCGGAGGGAAAGATACAAGGCTTATGGGCAGTAGGGGGGCCGGTCAAGAAGCAAGCTGAGCCCTGGCCGGTTTGGCTCAGTGGCTGGAGCATCGGCCTGCGGACCAGAGAGTCCTGGGTTCAGTTCCCACTAGGGGACCAGAGAGTCCCGGGCTTGGTTCCTGCTGAGTGTGGATTGAATCCCCACTCCTTACCTGCCGTTCAAGGTCCCACAAAAATAACCTGGCTCCCCGATTTGTTCCTACTATTTTCTGCTATAAATTGGTTGTTCCACCCAGTTCAGGTCCCTCCCTGTCTCCAGAGCACACTTGGCGCATCCTGTCTCCGCGCCCTTGCTCGGAGCGACACGTGAGCTCCTGGAACACACAACTTCCATCTTCTGCCTCCACATCCCGCCCACAGGGCTGCTGCGCTCTTCCAGCCCATGAGCCATCACTGCCTCCCAGACCTCAAACAGCAACTCTCCCCGTCAGCTCCCCGGCACCCAATGCCGCGTTTCACTCGGCACCTGCCTTTGTCCTGCTATTTTTGACATCTGAGATGTTCAGATTTTATCTCCCCAGCTAACCTGCAGCTCCTTGAAAGAAGAAACCCGATGCCTGTCTTTCGCTGCGTAATCCCCCAAGAGCCCATGTTCTGTGTCATGAACCTCGGGGCAGCCCCTTCCACTTATCCCTGTAAATTTAAGGACAAAAGGATGAAAGGAGGAGAGGAATAAAGGGAAAGGAGAAAATGTATAAGTGATACTTCTGGGTATCTGTACTTTGGAAGGATGGATTTTGACCTCCAGAGAAAATAGAAGGATGGGCCTTTCTCCCTTCCTGTGAGGAATTCGAGCCGAGCGCTATGGGGCGCCTGCGCTGTCCTCTGCACGGGGACGTGCTTGTACACCCTCAGAGCTGGCCCGAGTCGCTCTGAAACAGGGCCCACGCCCGAGCGAGCCCAGCGCGCGCCCCCGTTTCCTGTCACGTCTCTGCTGAGGCGATGCTGACCCCTGTCACGCTGCCGGCGCGGCACCGCTGAGCACCAGCAACTGTGGCAAAGGCTCGTCTGCCAGCTTTGTCCCCACAGGAACCAGCCCAGAAGTTACAGGTTACACAAGCAAGTCGTCCTGTTTGGGTTCAGAGTCACTGGTGGTTTTCAAACATTATATGTATGAGAACCTTGGGGGAGCTTCTGACCCTCCTAGGCTCAGCCGCCCCCATACCATTTAAACATGCATCTCTGCGACTGACCCGGGCGTCAGCATTTTGAAATTTTTACCCTGTGACTTGAACGTGTTGCCAAGTTTCAGAAGCAGCGGCTTGAGCAGGTGCGCCAGCATCCTCCCCAAACACGCATTCTGCAGCGGGATGCTGGAGAACACTGCTCCTTCTGAAGGGAGCAGGTGACCGCAGAGGCAACGCGGGCAGGACTCACCTGCGGTCACCCGGGGGGCTGGACAGCGGGCCTCTGACCGAGCCAGTCTTCAGTGTCTCCATGTTTCACTCTTCCCTGCGGTCTTTCCCATTAGCATCTCTGCCTCGAAGTAAACAAGAGGCATCTCGAGATGACAACACTGCATTGTGCTTTTCATTCGTGGGGAGAGGAGCGCCCAGGGGCTCTTGCCCCTGACTGTCCATTGGAATGACCTGGGACGGGTAACGCACTGCGCAGAGATGCTGGCTCAGTGTGTAGAGCTGTGGTTCTTCACGTGTGGTCTGGAGCCCAGCAGCTTCTGCGTCAGCTGAGCATTCTCAGAAGTGTGAATTCTCAGGCCCCATCTCAGACTTCCTGACTCAGAAACTCAGACGGAGGGAGGGCAGGGGCAGAAATCCACCTTTTTTTAAATTTTATTTTATAAATGCCTTTAAAATTGTTTATTTATTGGCTGATTTTTAAAAAGAGAGAGAGAAAGATAAACACTGATTTTTTTTTAAATGCATTCATCAGTTGATTCTTGTATGTGCCCTGACTGGGGATCAAATTTGCAACCTCAGCGTATCAAGACGATGCTCTAACCAACCAAGCTACCTGGCCGGTGTTTTAACAAGCCCTCCAGGAATGATGATCATGCTGAAGTGTGAAAACCACTAGTTTAGACAGGGCACAGGTTTCGGTGATTTTGAAAAGGCCCACAGGAGTTCCTCCTGGGCAGTTGAGGTGGAGACTTATGGGTTAAGCAGCACTGGATGAGGTGGCAGACACCCTGCCTCTTCATTGGAGGTTCCTGATTCTCCCAATGTCCAGCCCTCTGTGAGAAACAGTGCCTTTCACTGGGGTGAGTGTGACAACTCCTGCAGCATGTTACATAATTAGCAGATTTGGTGTTGGTGTGTTCAGTCATTTTAACAACGGAATTAGGTCAGCAGCAAAGCCCACTGAACTACTTGCTCACACATTGTCAGTAAAATGCCCTGTCCTCATCATCTCCCCATCAAATGAGTCGACTTTCCTCCGAAAATAAACTAGCCAGTTAACAGTGACTCAGCAGCCAAATAGAACCATCTTTGTAATTCAGTAGAATAAAAGAAATATGATTATTTCTACTTCAAAATGCATCTACTTCATTTTGAAATGGACCTTTGAGTCAAAATTTCATGCTTCCATTGGGCATCCGTCTCATCCTTCAAAGAGAACTTAACAGTTTAAAAAGCACAGGGTTTTTATTTATGCAATGATGACATTGAGAAGTCTAACTTTCATGCAGTCTCAGGATAGGAGCCTCTGGCAAGATATGCAATAAATGGAATCTTTATATGAACATCAATTTATATTTTGCATAAAGGAAGTTACTATGCAATGACTAATGCTTCAAAGAGTAGCTTATGGGCTGGTTGTTCTCTTCATGTTCTGAATGTGTCTGAGCCTGGGGGTGAGTATCACTCACATTTTCGGGAGCTCCAGTGATGCTTCACGAGAAAGGGGGCAATCTTATGGATCAGTTTATGACTCTGAGAGTCTTTGATGATAAGTTATTAGTGTAGGATAAGCGATCTACTCATAGCCTTAGACAAGAGAAGTGATGATAAGCATGTTTCCTTTTATACATGCACCCAGGTAAACAGGCTGCTCCCTCCTGGGCAGCTCGGGGACCCCGATCTGTCTACTGAGTTTACCTCGAGGACAGTAGATATCCGGAGCCCACCGGTTGCACTCATAATTGTCGGCTGCCTTTTCGCAGGTGAAACACTTAAATCCACCAGGATATGGGGTGGCTACAAAAAGAAGCAAGAGAAGAGAGTCATGTTTTAGACTGAGCACAGAATCCTGCATTGTGGAGTTAAACATTTTCACTTTTTAAAACAATTTTAATTTTATTTTTGCAAATTAATGTGGGTTTTTTTTCATCTCCAACCAGTTTCTTTAAAAAGTCAACATGGAAGTTCCAAATGACTCAGCAATTGTACTCTTAGCATTTATCTCTGAGAAACGAAAACATATTCACACAAAAATGTGTACACAAATATTCACAGCAACTTTATTTGTAACAGGCAAAAACTGTAATCAACCCATATGTCCTTCAATGGAGGAAGGTTAAACAAACTGTGGTACATCCCTACCATGGAATACCAGTCGGCAATCAAAATGAACTATTAATTCAACATTCAGCTGCGATGAATTTCCAGGGAATTGTGCTGAGTGAAAAAAAGTCAACCCCAAAAGCTTATATATGAAATGTAACATTTACTATATGCAACATTTTTAAAATGAGAAGATTTTAGAAATGGTTTCCCCGGAGTGGTAGTGGACAGGTTTAGAGGGATCTTGGTGTGAGGCCAATGAGAGGAATCATTGTGCTATTGAAACTATTTAGTGTCTTGACTTGGTTGTAAACACACAAACATACATGTGAGAAAATTATGTAGACTTCAACACACAAATACACATAGACACACACACACACACACACACACACACAAATAAAACTGGGGAAGTCTGAATAAGACCAGTGGGTTGATGTATCAATGTCAATAACCTGGTTGTGACATTAGTCTACAGTTTCAAAATGTTCCATTGTGGGAAACTGAGCAAAGTATACATGGAATCTCTCTATATTATTTCTTACAACTGCTTATGAATCTACAACTATCTCAATAAAAATTTCAATTAAAGAAAGGCACTCTAGATTCCCAATGATTTACTTTTATGTGTCAATGTACGTGGACAGGTCAACATGTAAATATAAATACTAGGTTGAAGCATTAAAAAAATCTCCTGATGTTTGACCACTGTGTACCTACAAAGGTGGCAGTTTCTTTAGTTCAATCTAATATTTTCATCGGCTCAGACCTGACAATGGTTGAGAATCCCTGGGGAGCCCTGGCTGGTTTGGCTCAGCGGTTAGAGCATCAGCCTGCGGTCCAGGGAGACCCAGGTTCGGTTCCCTCTAAGGGCACGTACCTCGGTTGCAGTTTGTCCCCGGCCCTGGTTGGGTCGTGTGGGTGGCAGCCACTTGATGTGTCCCTTTCACGTCGATGTTTCTCTCTCTCTTTCTCTCTCTCTCTCTCCCCCTCCCTCTCCCTCCCTCCCACTATATCTGAACAAAAAATGGAAAAATGTCTTTGGGTGAGGATAAAAAAATAATCCCTGGGGATGGTCAGAAAAGAGTCCCCACTGCTGAACAAAAAATGGAAAAATGTCTTTGGGTGAGGATAAAAAAATAATCCCTGGGGATGGTCAGAAAAGAGTCCCCAATGTATGTTGCCTACGCAGAGGTGACTCTCCTAAGAGGCCTCTCAGGCCCATGTCCAGAGTCCACTGGGCAGCATGCTGGGGGCGAGGGTGCACCCTAGGCTCCTAGGACCAGCCTGAGGGACATGTCATTCCAAAGCCCCTCTGCTCCGCCCTCCTCTCCTCGCCCCTGAGTTGCCTCTTCTTGCTTTCTGAAGAGACTGTCTCCCGGGTACTTGTCTTCTCTGCCTTGCCTGTACGCCCAGGCGGGAGATGGCCCGGCAGGGCCGTGCTCTGTAGAGTGCCGGCACACCAGGGCCTCGTGAGCAGGAAGGACCAGGGTCCACAGGACTGTCGGGGCAGGTCATCTCTGTCCCATCCACTGATGTGCTTCTACTCGCTGTTTAGCTGTAATCATTTGCTTGCTTTGCTGCTTAGAGTTTTGCCTTTCATAACAGAACTCGTGAGTGTGTGTGCGTGTTCAATTTGTAAAATTACCTGGCCTCTTTGAAAGCTGCAAACACTTCATCTGCAGAAGCCAACTGTTCTCTCTCGCAGATGGCTGAGCCTGCATATCCCACTGGCGGAAATGATCATCTCAGGGTAAATTGCTTTACCCACATGGAACCAATTAAGTATGTTATCAAAAATAAATGAAGGAGGAGGCAGCAGCTTAAGGCCAGAATTGTGGGCCAGATATGACTTTGATTCTCACCTTACCTAGAATAGCTGCCCATCCTTACACTTGCAATAGTTCACAGGGATGACTCTGAAAATAGCAAGATCAAAGGTAATACACTGTCTTTTCAAAAAAGGCAGGTAACTAGATCTTCTTATGGGCCCACGTGAGAGTTTCATGTTCCTCCAAATAGTCGATGACTCAAATTCATCAACAGGATGATAGTGGGTGTGTGGACGGTCTCAGAAAACAAGGATGGAAGCACCTCAGACGTAGCCGTCCAACCACTTCATTCCCAATGAGGACATTTCACTAGGAGGAAACATCCTCTCCCTGGGCATAATCATAATAAAGCAGGAGCAAACTACTTTGTAAAATCACACACACATGATTTTTATATCTCCACATCCCACTACCTAGATAGGTGGATTACATTTGAGTTGAAAGAGTCTAGATTAGGTAAGTACATGCTTGAAGAATTGCAAACAACAGGTTCTCATATTCCAAAGCCATTCAAATATTCTTATGGACATTTTTCTTAGCTTACTTTTGTAAATACTGTTATGAGAAAAACCATACAAAATAGTTTAGGAAATTCTCTCGATTGGAGATATATATGTATGTATGTGTATATATATATATATATATAAACTTTTTTTTTTCTTTATTAATTTTAGAGAGAAAGGAAGGGAGAGGGAGAGATAGATAGAAACATCGATGAGGGAGAACACTGATTGGCTGCCTCCTGCATGCCCCACACTGGGGATAGGCATGTGTCCTGACTGGGAATCAAACTGGCAACCTCTTGGTGCATGGGTCGACGTTCAACCACTGAGCCACATAGGCCGGACTCGATTGGCTATACTTTGAAAAATAGTTTCATTAGCATCTTCAAAATATTGAATATATAAATATGTTTGAAAGATAGAACTTTTAAAAAGCTTTGTAAACTCTTGAAGTAGAATGATCAGCATAGGAGTTTTGAAAAACAGATGTAAACTATTTGTCAATGAACAGCAGTTCTTAAAATATGATCCTATACACCAAGGTTCATGACCACAAGGAACCACAGCGGTGCTGCTTGTGTGATTAATTCGGTAGACTATCCAACTTCATCTGTCCGCCACTGCAGCCAGTAAAACTTTTAGCTGGAATGTTGGGTTAATTATTCCTGGAAAGTTTCCCATCAGAGAGATTAATTGAGAACTCTGAATGAAGACTGACAATCCACCCATTCCATGAATAAACTTTTTGAGAACCTAGAGCTAATAGGTTGTAGTGTTCTCTAATTTGGATTATTGAATAGATTCTTCAAAATTATCTTTTGCAAGATGGGTGACATATTACATTAAACACTGTCATTTCTTATACAAGTAGTACTGAACTCTGAAATTAACTCGAAGTATGTCAAAATTTAAACAGGACTACGAACTAAAACACGAAGGCAGCATAATGAAGCTCCATTTCAGATCATTTTATCTCTGAATGTGTGTAGTAGCACGTATCACTGACAATTAACCAAACGATCTCGCTTTTGTTTAGTTTTATTTTTAAATCTACAACTTCATATCTGTGTCCATTCTCAACAGTGACACGCTAATCTGTGCATATAGGGACCTGAACTTACATCTTGTTAGACAGTACTGGTCATCAAATGACCAAACCCTTTTCAGTAACAGGTCTTCATGTACAGACTCAGCTTTAAGTTGATAATTATGGCACAATACCAAGCAATGGTTAAATTCTTCCTCCTGGAAATATTTAGTCAAAAATAAAGTCTACAGTTGAACAACTATCTCCGGTAACTTGTTAATTGATACTGAATCTGATAAGTTGTGTTTTTTTTTTAAAGGACTGAAAAGAGATTCCTAAGAGATGTTCTATTTTCTCTGTTACTTCAAAGCATCACAGAGCAAGTAGAGTTTCCAATTGTTGTGGCCTCAGCTGTGAATGAATCTAATTTGGCTCTTGATCACAGAGTTAATACGCTTAGTACTCTGCAGTTCAGGACATCAGTCCTTGGTCCCTCAAGAGAAGGTGATTGTAAAGGGAAAAAAAGAAACACCAAAGTACCCAGTTACTTCCTGGAACATAATCTGTCCATTAACTCCTATGGTCAGCCATAGTTCAACCGACCATAATTCATTTGTAAGGCTTTGGAGCAGATTTCGTCTTTGTTTGCATCTCTTGGAACTTTTGCCTGGACAAATGTCTTCAGTTAGCAAAACCGTGGTGAAAAGAGAATCTTGTTTTAAAGTTCATGCTTCTGTGTAATGCAGCCTAGCTTTCTAAAATTATTATTCTTGCCAAATTAATGTCCATTGTTTTGGGAAACTGGAAGCAAACACAAAATTTTTAGAAATCTAATAAATCAATCTACCTCTCAGACCACTGGCTACAAAGTGTTGTCAGTATAGTTTTAATACTGTGAGTAAATTTTAATAGAAATATATGTCCTGCTACTTTTCTAGAAAGTCCCCTTACTTCCTAAGGTTTATTGATGCAGTACAGACTCGTGAAAAAAAATTAGGTGGCTCTGTGTGTAGGCATAAGAAAGCCCTTTGCAGGGATAGAGTGCTTTAGCCCATAGAAAAGGCTCGGAATATGGAACCAGCGGAAAGTGAGTGTCTCAGGAAAGAGCTATTACACAGAAAGAGGTGGAGGCCGGGAACAGGTTGAAGTCGCTTTGCATGTTAAATTCTGCTCTCTTATATCATCTCTAGCAACCAAATGAGAAGCCTCATTTCTGTTAACACGAACTGCTGTTTTAAAGGATTTATTAGGCTTTGGTACTTTAATCTTGGGCTGGAAAGAAATTCATCATTTTTCACATGAAAAAGAAAAAAAAAATTACAGATTATGGAAAAGAATGTTGTTGAGGACAGTGCCTCAAGTTTGAAAGCCATAAAGTTTATTTCTCTTAAGGGCTTAGAAACTTCAAAGATTAGAGAATCAGAGAGCAAAGGAGATTAGTTATGGGAGGCTGAGCTTTCCCAACCCGGGTTCCAGTCTCACCCCACTTATTATCACCGGGGGCTGCTCAGGGCCCAGCAGAAAGGAGGTTATGTTTGTCTGGTGTCGACAACGAGTGTGTCTTCTCACATCTCCAGCGTCACCGCGTTTCTCCCTGGGCAGGCTCTGAGCTCCGGCTCACTCGCTGACCCCAAGAACACTCTCTGTGCCTCCCTCTACATAGTGAGGCGAACCTATTAATAATTCAAGATCAAGATAATCCCACACTTCGTTCATATACATTTTATAGTCTGTATTTCACAGAAACCTGCTTATTTGTAGAGAAATCGCTCCATCTACATGGTCCACTGGGTGCCATGCAGGACTGAGGATCATGACCATTTAAAAAATCGATGTGTAAAAATAAGCCCACAAACAGCAAAAACTTCTGAAATAGTGCACAGAAATGGGGAGTTAACTCTGCTTTAAAGTGGGCAGAGTAGACACAATTCTAGCCAAGTAGGACCCTGGGATGGTAACTTCAATCCAGCAAGAATGTTTACTCCCCACGACCAGTCACAGAGACTCCACAACAGAACTGAGCCTGAGCTGCTGGGGAATTGTCTGCGTACCACCTGGCTCAGGGGCAGCTTCTTCCGTCCTTCTCCAGACTTCAGAATCATATCAGAAAAGCCCACCAATTCTATTTGATGAGTTTTTTTTTAATTCAGCTGTGGCTCTGTTTAATTAACATAGGCCACATGAGCAGAAGTCATCCTTCAAAGATCCCATTCTGAAATCGACTTTCAAACAGGGGCCCACTCAACCAGGCACAGACCCACCATAGCACTGAGGGAGAATCAGTGTGTGTGCTTGTTTTGTGTTCACGTAAATCCAACCCCCTTGAACTTCCTTCCCACCCTGTACACCATCGTAGCCTCAGAGAAAGCCAAGCATGGACCTGCTTTGTGGCCTGGTGACTTCTGAGTCTGTCATTGAAGTGGACAGAGAACCCCCCCCCAGAAGCTGAAAATCCTGACAATCAAATCTGAAATCAAGATTTTTGTTCACCCAGTCTAATTAAAAAAAAAGCACAGCTATTTGAAGAAAAGAACAAAATGCAATCCAAAAAACAGAGCAAGTATCAAAACGTCTTCTTTTCATGAATTTTACTAACATAAACAGCAGCCAGATAAGCTTCCAATACAATCCACCAGTAAGCACCAGACTATACTGGTGAGAGTACAGTAGCAATAAATCTAAAGAAACTCTGCTGCGTGTCAAAAGCATGTTTGGAATTCAAAAATTAGAGTAGCGTCTTTTCAGCATCTCAGTTTCCTCTCTAAGCCAGTTATAACAACATCATAAGCAACAGGTTTCCAATTGCCTATTATATATGTGCCTGGCATTGTACAGATATTACTTCTAATCCACAAAATAATGTGACAGGGTATGTATTATTTTATCCACTTTAGAAATGTGGGAATTAACATTTCGAAGGATTTCCCTAACATTTACTGAGCAATTACTATGGCTCACATTCAGAGCTAAGTGCTTTGTGGACATTCTTTGATTCGTCATCACAAAGTTCGGGCTTTTATTTCAAGGCAGAAGGCTTCGAAGCAGCTGAGCTAGCTGCTGACCTGTGGCGGGCCGACTGGACGGCCGCCGTGGATTCCTCGGCTCACCTCTCATCTAGAGCAGACCACGCAGAAGTTAAGTGGTCTAACTCCATCACATCAAAGGAGTCCGAGGAGCTGCCTCCCATTTGTAGATTCTAAGATCCTCAAAAGCAAGGACTATGTTTTACTTGCTGTTATGTCTTTCATGCCTATCAGAATGCTGACGCACAGGATACACAAAAAATGTAGGTGGAACAGAATATTTCAAAAGAGGAATGCACCTCGGGGCAAATGCTAAAGGTCAAAATATACACACTGTGCCAAGCTCTCACCACCACAGGGACAATGCAGACGAGGATCCAAACAAAACACAGAAATGGAGACTAAAAGAGGAAGTAAACGTGCTGAGTGATCCATAGAATATCAGCAGCAGAAGCACCTGAAGTTCTTGCTAAAAGCCAGAAGCCACAGGTACAGCCCCAGCCAGATATGCTATCAGACGCTCCAGGGAAGAGACTGTGCATCTGCTATATTAGCACTCTCTAGATAATGCCTAAACACAGGAAACCGAGAGGGATAGGGGACAGGAAGTTGTGGAAGATAATTAGGCTGAAACTGAGAATTAGATGCACAGACAGGAAGACCAGCTATTATCTTCCCTATAAAGGACTGATCCTTTACAAACACATTCCTCCTGGGACATGTGGGTTCCCTTTGAGAACTGACAGAGGCTGGCATGAGTCAAAGGGAAGGGTGTTCTGAATCAGAGTGATGGTACAGGGGACAGAGAAAACAAGCCTAAGAATTTGCCTTAAAATAAAAAGCAAACATCCTATAAAAAGGTGAGGGTAAAACACACAGCATGTTCGGTAGCACCGGCACCCACACACCCCGCCCCCAGTGAAATCACGAGGTTTCCCCTGCATTGAAGGCTGCCTTCTCCCGGCCATTTTTCAACTCATGTCTTAGTTGAAGCGAAGTGATGTTTCTGCAGCAAAGAGAACAGTCTTACTTGAAGGATGGAGGTAGATAATGTCCTTGACCGTGAAGTCTCGGGACTGTGCAGCTTTCAGACAATCCGCCAGCAGGCTCAGGAGCAGGAGCCAGGCCAGGGCAGGGCCAGGCTCCATGGCAGACCGAGGCGTCACTCATACAGGGCGCCCGGGAGCGGGGACTCGGGACCACGGGAGAGAGTGCGCACCTGCAATATGAAGCAAGATTCATCTCAGTGTCCAGCCCGAAAAAGCCACAGGAGACTTGGCTGAGGTCTCCTGCCGGGGAGATTGCACAAGGAGGGCAGGAAACCGAGGGCAAAGGAAGTGGGCAGACGTGGACAGAAACTTCATAAACGGTAATTTTAGAGCACTGGGGAGTTCCAGCCAAATCCCTTCGGAATCAGGTCGCTCCAGCCCCGCTGGCAGCAGTCACCTCTGATACCCAGCAGAGATGCTATCAAGAGAGATTGAATTTTCATGAAGTCCAGCGATTTTTGCCAGGAGGCCAGGGGATGGCTGCCAGAATGCAACAATAAATAAGTCAGACACAAGAGCTCAGAAGCATTTCCTTGACGATGGGGAAGGCCAAGTGCGAGAGTGCAGCCTGTGCGAACCTGTGCGGGGTAGGCTGTCAAATTTGGGGGGAAACGTAGGGAAACAGGCCTCTTCCAAACCAAAAACTGTTTTTCTAGCTCAGGATCTCCTTAACATAAGCAACATCATCAGCCAGGTTCTATGATCACCCTTTTGGAGTAAACGAAGTCCAGCAAATAGAGGAATTGATTCAGACCCAGGCAGTCTGACCACTGAGTCCACGTCTTAATTATTTAATTAATTAATTAATTTTTTTTTATATTTATTTTTTTGTTAATCCTCAGCAGAGGATATTTTTCCATTGATTTTTTTTTAGATTGAGTGGAAAGAAGGGAGGGATAGAGACAGAGAGAGAGAAACATCGATGTGAGAGAGACACATCAAACGGTTGCCTCCTATATGACCCCGACCAGGGCCTGCAACCCAGGTATATGACCTTGACTGGACATCAAACTGGAGACCCTTCCATTTGAGGGCTGAGGCTCTAACCGCTGAGCACACTGACCAGGGTAAGTCCGCATTTTTAATTTTTTTAAATTTTTTTTCTTTATTGATTTTAGAGACAGAGGGAGAGAGAAATAGAAACATCCATGAGAGAGAACATTGATTGGCCGCCTCCTGCATGCCCCCCACTGGGGATCAGGCCCACAGCCTGGGCATGTGCCCTGACCAGGAATCGAACCTGCGACTTTTTTTTTTTTTATCCTCACCCGAGGACATTTTTCCATTTTTTGTTCAGGTAGAGTGGGAGGGAGAGAAAGGAACAGAGAGAGAGAGAGAGAAACATCGACGTGAAAGGAACACATCGAGTGGCTGCCATTCACACGACCAACCAAGGCCAGGGACAAACCGCAACCGAGGTACATGCCCTTAGCGGGAACCGAACCCGGGTCTCTCTGTACCGCAGGCCAACGCTCTAACCGCTGAGCCAAACCGGCCAGGGCGAACCTGCGACTTCTTGGTGCATGGGTCGATGCTCAACCACTGAGCCACACTGGCAGGCGAGTCCGCATTTTTAAACACTAGGTGATACTGTGTTCCTCCAAAGATTTAGTTGTGTATAAACAAAAACCGATGAAATGAGAGCAAGGTAGCACTGTAGCACTAAGCAATCATCACTGTATCCTCTGCTCTGATTCCGTCCTTTTCAATTAAAACTGGTGACAATAAAACCTACTAGGGTTAAATTGCCCAGCTTATTTAGAATGTAGATATACATGTTTTTTTTTGTTTTTTTTTTTGGACCTAAACCCAGAGATTCCTGGATGATGAATTTATTTTATTTATTTTTTATTTATCACTTATTTATTTGTTTTTAGTTAGTTTATTTATTTTTGTTACAGATGTTTTTCCCCCCCCCCCACTGATTCCCCCCTCCCTCTCCCTCCCCGCCCTGTCCCCAGCTTTGTTGTCCATGTCCACTGTTCAGTAGATATATATCTTAATTTATATGTGCTATTCACTTGCCAACTCATTGCTTTCCTGTAGAGTCACATTTTATTTTCCAAATACCATCATTCTATTGCCCACGCAAGGGGTCAAGTTAGACAGTCACTTTATTTTTAATACACTGAAAAAAACAAAAGAACATGATTTGGGCATCTTGTTTACAGATTTTAATACCAATATTCAACGAGCTTTTTAAAATAGCATGACAAGAAACCGTGTGGTCTTATTAACCAATGTCATGCCAATACATTTAATAAAATAAAAAAGAAACATAAAATAGCATAACAAAATAATTCTAAAATTATTTTGTCAGAACAAATAGACCGAGAGTAAATGTATTCTAAAACAAAATCAATAGAGAAAATCATATGAACTAATCAGACATTAGAACATACTACAGAGTAATATTAACCAAAGCAGAAGAATAAAAAGTGTAAAAATGAATACAGAAAATGGAACACTCTAAGGAGCTCAGAAACAGACTCAACTATTTCCGTAATATAAGCAATTTTTTAAAATTACCAAAAAGAAAAATATTAAATGGAAAGAATTATGATAACTTGATTAAAGCTTCTGAAAAAGATGAACTGAAACCAAATAATGCACAATACGTTAAAATTAACTCCAGATAGATTGGTGTGTTGTTTTTTTAAATAGGTGATTTGTTAGAATAGAGTAGAGCTCTTACTACCCTATAGCAGTTTACTGATGCCGGCTGGGCCAATTTCATGCTCAGGATATGTTTACAATCAGCTCCCCATGCAAATTTGCATTCAGGAAGAGAATGGGCTGCCGGGTCCCTTAATAAATGTGAGTGCGAAGCACTGTGCTAGCCACTTGGTTGAACAATATGATGAGAAAACAAATATTAATGATATCTTCCACTCACTGAGTGACAGAGGTAAACAGTGTCTCCTCTGAATGAGTGCTTTGTCGTACATCTGTTGTGGCCAGGTAAGGCCACATCTGCACAGTGTCCCATGGAGACACTGCACAGCAACACCCCCGCCACAACCTGCAGCAAGGCTCCATGTGAGGAGAGCTATCTGCTTTTATTTTGATATAACTTAACATTAAATATCAACTAGTTGCCAACCTAAGTTCTTTTTAATGTGAAATTTGATGTCCACACCAGTACTTCAATATATCAAACAATGCAAGTGGCACGTTTTTATTAAAGCATTTCTTAACCACGGTATTCCTTCCGAATATTGATTTTAAAATCTCCCTCTGCACGGTGCTTTCACTAAGAGTTATGCATGACTTAATGTCATCTGAAATTAACCTTATTGCAACCTCTGCGGCATGGCTACCCAACCATGAGCCTTCATTTTGCAGCATATTTGACTATACGTGAGGAACATACAGAGGTGAAAAGCTAGATGCCCAACATTTTCTTGCTGTGCAACCTTGAGCCAGTTACTTCACTACTCTGTGCCTGTTTCCTCATCTGCAAAATGAGAATTAAATGAGTTAACAAAGGTAAAGCACTAAGAACAGCATCTGTCACACAGAAAATGCCATGCAATATTTTTCAATATTTTTACTATTATCATTTTGTTCAAAATCAGTCAATACACTTTCCTAAGTGAAAATAAATGTGGTACAATAAACTATGGTTCAAAACACAGCTCTGTTCTCTTAAATCAGAAAAACATTATCCCCCAAACCCTTAAGTATGAGAAATAACGATCCATATGTCTCCTCTACCCTAACACCTGCCCCAGGGCCAGCCAGGCAGGGACCAGGCCACCAGGATTTTAACGTGCTGAGGCTCATGTAGACCCAGGTGACTTCCTGCCATCCCTCATTTTGAAGCAAACAGGTGGGTGATGCCCTTCTGCACTCTCCGGTACCTTGCCCTCGCTACCCTACCAGGCCTTTGTTCCAACTCTGTAATCCTTACATAATCTGCTTTTGTTGGATTGTACTTGTGCAAAGATGTCAAGAGAACACCGGTCAGGAGCGCACTCCCTGCGTCCTCGAGGCTCCTGTCTCCACGCAATGTGCTCGCTCACATGCCATACTCATGGGGAGGGATCGCAGATTAAGTGAAAGCAATCATTTCATTCATTAAAACAGATCAGCTCCGCTTACTATAGGAAAGGGCAAGCTTAATTCCTCAGGCCTGGCTTGTTTAGTGCCAGTTTTCAAATTGGGGGGGGGGGGGGGAGGGGGCGGGGTTCAATTACTTGCGTTAACCATGAATTTTATGTGTTTAATGGAGAATTTCCGAATTCTTAAAGTAATTGAGACTCTATTATCACAACACATTGTATTCTTTCTTGGGGGGGGGTGGGCAGTATTTCTAGGTATATGTATGATTAGAAAAGAGACTGAAAGGCCGGACACCAAAATGGATTTCAGACCATGCTGTTCCTTTTGCTCACTTTGCGTATGTTTCATGTCATTCTTTTTGTTCAAAGTGTGCTTGGATGAACATTTTGATGAGTATGTCTTATTTTTCTAAAGAGAAAAGCAGTTTTTAAAAAAACAGTGCTTCTCAAATGAGTTGGACAGAATAATTTCACTTTTTTATCTACAAAAGAAAGTCAGCTTTTTACCTACAGCCACTGAATATAACCTCAAAAATGTCCGTCTCTTCTACAGTCAGAGAATCCACATCTGACAGAGCGTCCTTCCCTTCCCTCTTCCGCCGGGCCCTTCCCTCCTCACAGCAGAACCCAGGGCAAGGAGTCAAGGTGCTGAGACTGTGTGGGAGGAGCACGCCCAGGAAACTGAGGGTAAAGGGAAGGAGAGAAGGTGGGAGGGGGAGAGACGTGAGCTGGGCAGAATATGAAGCTAGAAAACATGAAGCAGTGTGATCCTAATCCTCGGTTACTATGCTGCTCACACGTCACAAGCCACAAAGAGACAGGCATGCACCTTGGTACAGTCCATGGAAGGAGAGAGGGGGGAGAATTTGTCTGCCTGGTTGCCTCCTGTCTCTTTGTCCCCATTGATCATGGTTCACTCCATGAAGAACTCACTTCCCTACATTTGTATGTGTCATTAATCCTTATAAATACCATTGCTTTTTTTGTAAGGGTTTGTTATTTTTATTTTATACATTTTTATTGAGGTAAAATTCACCATTTAAAAATAATATAGTAGAGCGTTTGGGGTACGTTCATAATATTGTATAACCATCTCTTAGTCCAGA